TTTTCTCATCAGTAGAATTGGATTGTCCACTCCTGCCTAAGCCTCAAGGCTTTGTCTGAATGGAATCCACCTACCTCCTGCCCCTCCACGGGGTGCCACACCCCTGCTCCCAGAGGAGGGTCCTGATCTACACAGCTTCGTTTATCAGGACAGAGAGAACTTTGCCCTTTCAGCAGCACACCCTGGCCGGGTCCTGCGCCCAGCTGCATCCTGTGTGACCCAAAAGGAGTTGACAGGCAGCAAACGTCCTGCTTTGTGTACACCACACTTCACTAAAAAACCTGTTACAAGTCATTTCAAGGGGAGGTCCTGGGTGAGTCCTACCAGTCCTAACTACAGTTCCCATAACCCAGCCCACACACCCTGTTCTGTTGACTGTTACATACTGCAGAAGTCAGCACCTGGAAGGCTTCCCCAATCTACCACAGGGGTCTCCCTCTGATCCGGCCCCTAGGTTGCCCTTCCTCCCCTGTCCCCTCTCCCAGGGCATGTGGGTGGGATTCTCAGGCAGGCTGCATCTGGGAAGGGTAGGCACATAGGGCAGGAGGAGTAAAGGCGAGACACTAGAGTGCCCTCCCTACCACCAGGCCTGGCCCCAGGCTCCCAGACTCGGAGCTGCTATGGGAGGCCCACCAGCCCCAGCATTCCCAGAACAAAATCCCTTTTCAGGCACTGGCCAGGCCATCGTCACTCAGCTCCCGCCCTCCTCCAGGGCAGGCCTTCCACGTCCCAGCGTCACTGGGGGCTGAGACCAGCAGTGACACCAGGGCACACAGAGGCCTTGGGATGCCAGCACTTTGAGGGAGTTTCACTTTTTGTCTTGTGCAGTGAAATTTCTCAAGTCACTGGAGAAGACCTATTTGGAGTGTGAGTTCCCACACAAGCTAAGCTTCATTCAGCAGTGGGAGGCACCCAGGACTCTCTAGATAAAAACGGAGATCTGTCTGTTATGCAGAATTCATGGGGTCACAGGTCACAAGGTCATGGTGCAGGGAGAGCCAGTTTCCTGGGTACTTGACCTCTGGGCTGCAAGTGTAAGTTCTGAACCTTGAACTGGTACAGCTGAGGTGCCTGGTGCACATGGGGCCCAGGCCACATCCCCCAGTTCTGCCCACAGACTGACGGCCAACAACAATTTACATTCTAGCCTCTCCTCTAGTGAATTACTACATGAGAGTTAAAATTCTCTGAGAGTGATGAAGCATCACCCTGCTGCCTCCTCTTGGTTAAAGATTTCAGATGGTGGTGACTTCCAGACTGAGGTTGTGAGTGTGCTGAGCTCAACTCACCACTAGGGGGCGCAGCTGGGCAAGCGCTGCTGCCTGGCCTGGCCTTGCTAGGAAGGGGCGGATTTGCTGCAGGAGATGCATCCCTTTTACATCGCTTTCCCGGGGAAACATTAGAAATAAGCAGCAGTTGCAGCAACAGCATGTTTAAGCTGGCGCTTAGGTAAAGCGACCTCTGAAGGCAACGGCCTGCGGGGGTGCTCTGCTAGTGATCAGCGTCTGCTACGGCCCCTGTTGCTTCTCCCTCAAAGCTCCGAAACCTGCCCACCTGCCAGGCACCCGGCACTTTATGGGCTACAAAGTAGGTATGATAATAGAACTCATCTTAGTAGGTTGTTGTAGAATTCATGACTTAAAACACCTGAACTGCTCTAAGTGTTTGGCATTGTTGGCAGTCGTACCTCATTCCTTCTGCTAGCCCCTCCATTGCCTGGGCCAGCCATAAACATCAGCATCACGGATCTGACCTGCGCGCTGCTCGGGAGGGGCAGTGCCCGATGCCCTGGGGGTGGGGTGGTGCGCGGTTGAAGGCCGCTTTCCAAGTGATGTCGTTTATTTGTAGAGAACTGGGAGTAGGTAAATGAAGATGCACCAGCTGTCCATCATCGTCTCCCCCACTGGCATGCAAGCCCCAAGAGACATTTGTTTCAATCACCTCTGGGTCCCCAGCATTTACAGCAGGACCTGGCACTGGGAGGAGTTTAACAGACATTCATGGATGACACTGGGGAATATTCATGTGGCATAATATAAACTTATTTTAAAAATACATGGTACAAAAAAAATTTAAAAATACATGGTACCATGACACCAATTTTGTAAAAAGATGTATTTATCTACCTCATATATAGCCCTCTCCATATATATGTAAAAAGAAAGAATTTCAGAGAACTATATAAAAATTCTGATAAACTGAAGGTAACAAAATGACAGATTAAATACTTTTTATTTCCCATGCTATCTACAATGAAAATGCAGATTCAAGGTAGAAGAATAATATTGGGAAGAATAGGCACGAGGTATTGCCACAGGGTGTTCAGGACCCAAGGGAGGGACACCCACCCAGGTGCTGGCTCCATCAGAGGTGTCGGGGCCGGAAGTGGCCAGAAGTGGCCGAGAGCTGCCTGAGGCCTGCCCTTCCCGCCCTAGGAGGATCCTGTTGTCCTCCCTCACCCACTGGTGTCGGAGTAGGTGGGGGGCCAGCAGGGATCGAGGAGGGACCTGGATCGGGCCTGGGTCTCCAGGGAGCCACCACCAGGGATCACTGGGCAAGCCTGTCTGAGACAGGCAATGCCACTGACTGAGCCTGCATCCACGGCCCCCTTAAGCTGAGTCAGTGGGGCGGGGGGGGGCGCCCAAGGAAAGGGAAGCCTGGGGGAAGGATATACAGGCAGCCCAGACCATTTGGCTTCACCCCTTCCTAAACTGAAATGGCCATCTATCTGCGGGCCGACCTGACCAGGGCAGGCGTCCCATTCCGCCCTCGCCCCTGCCTGGTCCGCCCTGCACTGGCTGAGCCTGCCCACTGTGACTGGGCAGAAGCAGCTCTGAGAGCCACCAGGGGCTGTCAGGCTAGAGGCCCTGCTTTCCCTCCTATGCTGAAGCAAACAAGTAATTGTGGCAGCAACAGTGAGGAAACAGTCCTCACTGCTCTGGGGGTCACAGACTCCTCAAGGTCACTTGCTCTTTCTCTGCTTCCAGGGCTCACCTCACTCCTCATCACCCCTGGGGCTGGAGCATTTCTCTCTCTGGCAGCAGCGAGAGAGGTGGGCTGCGCAGGGCTGGGGACACACCCCACAAGTAGCTATGCTTGCTCTGTGGGAGCCTCTGCGAGGACAGAAGGGGCCTCTGCTGGCCCAGGAGGACCCAGGATGGAGGCTCAGAACTTGTTCCACACGCCTCCTCGCTCCAGGGATTTTAGCTTCCAGGGAGACCTGGCTTCCCCGCCCACCCCTCCAGAGCTCAGCATGCAAGCAGAAGCCACAACCACCTTGCCTGCAAACCAGGGTCCCTCCCACCCAGGGTCGCCCTGGATTAGCTCTCTCCACAGACACCCCCAGACAACATGGGCAAACAGAACCACCCCAAGGCTTGAGGTTCAGTGGCCCAATGAACAGTAAAATTATTTTGGAGGGTTTATTTGCTAAATTAGTGAAAGATAACACCCAAACTAGCCATACTGTGCAAACAGGTAGGGCCTCTGGGCCCCCGAGGCTCCACTGTGGCCAGTACACACAGCATGAGGCTCAGAATGAGGCCAGACACTCACAGCGGCAAGGGATAGACGACAGAGAGACAGAAAAGGGCGGCCTGGGCCCGGCCACCTTCCTGGCCTGTGGCACAGTGCCAGGTGCAGAGGAACCAGAGGAACGGCTCAGACCGATGCTGCTCTGCAGCGAGGGCCCAAGGGGCTGGGGTCAGAGGTCTCTTCCACCTGCACCGGCCAAGGGACAATGAAGATGTTTCTCCAGAAGTTTCCCAGTGCCTTTCTGTGTGAGGGCTGTGACGCAGGGTACTTTCTTGACATCTCCTCGAACAGGGGGACGAGCTGCAGCACCCAGCCTCTAGGGCGTGATGAGCACCCAGCACCGTGGCCCTTTCTGTGATCTGCTCCTTTGTCAGTCTGGCTGCAGCCCTCACACCCCAAGCAAGAAAGCTCGTTTTGGAGGCAGGGTCTCAGGTCCTGGTTTCAGGCTGTCTCTGTGCCCTCCCGAGTCTCATCTGGACAGTGGTCATGGGGACAGGGGGAGAACTGAGGTTGCAGACACATCTCACCTCCACGATGGGCTTTTGAGATTTTCACCTGTGTCCTCTGCCCTCTGGGACCAGATGGTCCTCATTCTCAGAGATGCTGCTCGCCACCTGCCCATGCCCTTCCGCACACTCTTGTGTACTGTGTATGGGTGGGTGTGCCCATGTGTGAGGTGTGCCTGTGTGTGCATGTGATGCATGCACGTGTGTACACATGTGCCACCTGTGTGATGTGCATGAACATGTGTGTGTTTGAGAGTTGCCTGTGTGCATGTGTGTGTGAGTGTGTGTGCATACACACATTTGCTTGTGAGAGTCAGTGTGCATGCTGGGTGCAGCCTGGGGGGACGCCACTTATAGGATGAGGCTGGGCCTGCAGTTCTTGGTCTCAGGCTGAATCACAGGGCAGTGCACATATTCCCCCGAGTGGCATGGGTCTGCTGAGACCCAGCCGGCTGAACAAAGGACTGCATAGCCCCCATCAAGTCTCCCTTTGTGTGGCCCTCTGCTCCCATCCGTCCCATCCCCTGCAGGCAGCCTCTCCCTGCCCCTTGATTTGCTCTGCGTGGCCCTCGGGGCTCCCAGTAAGGGGCTGTGAACAATGTGGCACCACACCTCTCGCACCCACCTGCAAGGGTACTCCACTCCTGGCAAAGCTCAGCTTCCTGGGACCACAGGAAACGATGCCCGGTCTGCCCCTGGGCTCCCAGAGTCATCTCGGTTAGGACAGGACCCCCACGTGATCTGGGCCAACTCTGTGGGCCACTCCAGGCCTGTGGGGGCCTGGCTTTGCTTATGGAATTTCCTAGGACCTGCAGAGTCACATACCCATAACCTGGGAAGCTCAGCCACCTTGCGATCATCTCTGAGCTCATCTCCCTTCCCCAGTTTATGTTTCATAGAACGAGATGCACAAAAGGAAGGAACAGGGATCTGACAAGAGCAGCCAAAGAAGGGAAGCATCTTTGTTCACTCTTTACTGTGTCTTTCTGAAAGATGGCATCATGGTTCACCCAGTGGGACAGCGATTCCCGTGCAGTCACCAGTGTCCCTGAAACAGGTCCACGTGGCATGCTGCTGGTCTGTGTCCCTCTGTGCCTTCTGGCTGACCCCAGGAGACAGAAGTAGAGATCCTTTGTTACTGGCCATAAGGGGTGGGCTTTGAGGGGGACCGAGGAAGCTGGGGAGAAGTCAGACAGGCAACCTAGCCCCACTCTATTCTACCTCCTATCCCCCACGACCCCCCTGCTCACCCCAGCCCATTACCGTGCACAAAGTACCTTCTCCAGGGCTGCTACACGCTGCCCTTCACTTTCTTTCTGGTGGAGTATGGAATGCAGCACACCCAGCTGGTAGTGGTCCTGGAGGCCGAGAGCGGGGCAGAGAGAGAGGCAGGCCATGGGGTCAGAGGTGCCTGGCATGTGGAGCCCAGGCCCCATGCAGCGCCCCTTCAACCCCAAGTACGTGCCACAGGGTCTCTACTCCAGCCTCTGCTGCACCCCACTGCTCAAGTTCTGGGGAGCCCAGGGCTTGCCTCTGCAGCTACAGGGCTCTGTGCACAAAATCAGATTCCAGTACAGAGCCAGGCTTGCCTTCCTTCCAGAGGCCCGAGCCCACCACCACATCTTCTGTCTTCTGTCCCGGAAGGCCTGAGTCAGAAAGGACCCTTGACATGAGAGCCCTTAAAGACTAGCTGAGCCAGGTGTCCTAGGCGATGGTTCCCTGCATCCGGCCCTGCACCTTCCCAGAGAGTCTCAGCCTATGCTTGTCTCCCTGTGGGGTGGTCACTGGGGCTTCCCCTTCTGACCTAGGCTGCCTTGGGGAGCAGGTGGTGGCCACCTCACATGGCAAGGACCACCATGGCTTGGTGCCAATACATCCTAAGGGACTGCTAATGGGCTGCCTACACATGGGTACTTGGTCCCGCCATCTGAATGGGCCCGAGGGAGAGGGCTGGACAGAGAAGCCTTAGCTCTGAGGAAAACTGAGACTGCAGGTGAGCAAGGCAGCAGAACAAACAGGTGGCTTTGCCCAGCAAGTGACCAGGCCTGGCCCTCCAAGTGGGTCCACGGCAGATCCCTTCCCACTGGCCTAGAGGCATCCAGTGTTGACCACAAAAGTCAAGGCTTGGTTTTGGAGTGCTGGACCATCTCACAGGTTTTCTGGGGCAGCTGAGTCCCAGGGGTGATGGGCTGAGACCAAGGGACCAGACTGTCTGGTCTTTGGGACAGAAAATAAAGCCGCCGAGCTGCATCCAGTGTGGCCAAATCCTTCACCACATTCATTAAGAAACACAGAGAAAAATCAAGGTCTGCTTAGGAAAAGAAGACTTATTTTAAGCCCAGATTTGAGAGTGTGAAGAGGCTATCCGCTGTCTTTCACATCGTCAAAGCTGACGTGCCCAGCTGTGGAAGCTGATGTCAGAAAAGTGGTGGGTCTTCTGAGAGAAGATGGAATAAAGCTCCCTCACAGAAACTCTCTCCTCCAGTACACACAGGTCTGGGGGCAAAGCGGTAATAACAACAGTGGGCAATAAGCGAAGGGCTACAGTGCCGTAAGCATTCGGAGATGGTGGTCCAGAAAAATGGCTCCCACAGACACCCCACTGTCACCAGAGCGCCTGTCTGGGTGTCCTCGGAGCCGGCCCTTATTCCGAGTCTGTGCTTCAAAACCACGCACTCCTGCGCAGTCGTCACTGTCTCTGAGAGGGGGGCTCGTGTGACTCTGAACTTCCCCTCATTGGTGTGCTGTTCTACCTTACTTATTTAAAATGACTGGGTGTCCATTTTACAAGCAAACAGAGAAATTTTTCTAATGAAAAATATGCAAGCAACTAAACCAAGATATTGATGTAGTTATTAATTTTTAGTGGTGAGAAGTTGAATGAATTGCTATTATTTCCTTCCTTGTGTTTCTCTGTATTATTTAAAGTAAAACGGGCCCCTGGGCCCTTGGCTGGCGCAGAAGTGAGCACCCCGCCCTCTCCCGGCATCTTTCATGGCCTCAGGAAGTAACTGGTGGGGCTTCGATGGCCCTACACAGTCTGCACCCCAATAGGGTGTAGGCAGTCAGGACACATGCGAGGGGTCCTCCCACTGCCTGTAGAACCAAGTTGTGTGACCCTTGCAGCCAAACCCCCAAACTAAGAAGCTAGTACATCCACAAGGCAACACCCTCCTCTCACCTCTTCTTCCCTTCTTTCCATCCCCCATGTCCTGGCCATTTTGTTGGTTGAAGGGATGGGGAGAGAGAGTCTGGCTATGGAGTGAGGGGGGACTCAGATTGAAGGTTGTGCCAGATCCCATAGGTGGCTACAGGCCCTGTTGCCAGCCTCTCAGGCCCTCCAGCCTTGGTAGGTGCCCAGGTCCAAGTGCCCCCAGAGGAAGAGGGAAGGCACTTGGGCTTGGTTCTGCCCACTCTGCATGAGGCACAGTGGGCCCGCCAGAAACTGTGGTGGAGGAGAAGTCTCGCCGCCTCCCCAGGTGTCAACTCATTACTCACTCGTCTTCTGACAAATCCCCCATGTCCATCTGGGACTGCTTCTCCTCTTTCATGGCACATGCGACCCCCTGTGGGAAGCAGCAGAAGCCCCTTAGGGGATGGAGTGGGGGAGAGAGTTAACCACAGGCACTAGGCTGAACATGCTGGACCTGCCCAAAGGTCAAATGGGGTCATGAAGACTGCACTGGCCCTAAGCATCAGTCCACAACACGGGGCGCCATCAAGTGGAAATTTCAAATTAAGGGACCCTGACCAAGGACTGTGCCCCGGATATGGCCACCATGACCTCTGGATTATAGATCAGAGAAGTGAGCCCTTAGTCTCAGCTCTGCCATGGGCTAACCCTCCTTGAGTCCTTAGAACCTGTGGTGCCCCATGTAGCCTTGTCAGGAGTTAGTAATCAGCTGTCTTCGCTGTGCAGCATGTGCTGAGGGCAGAGATAAAAGGTGCAATCTGGAAAAAATAACTCCCAGCAGGAGATTAAATTTGCTAAGACAAAAAAACTTCTAAAAGATGACTTCTTACTACAGCAGGAAAGTGGAGAAAGACATCAGAGAGGCCATTGGGTCAACCACTTCTCTTTAGAAAATGATGATGATGATGTGACAATGGTGACAATAGGGAGAAAAGTGATGACGCTGCTGCTGATGGTGATGATAGGGATGATGTGATGATGGTGATGATGATGATGAAGGTGATGGTGCTGATGGTAATGGTGTAGGTGGTGCTGGTGGTGCTGATGGTGAGGATGATGGTGGTGATAGTGAGGATGATAGGGATGATGTGATGATGGTGCTGATGGTAATGGTGTAGGTGGTGACAATGGTGATGAAGGTGATGGTGGTGATGGCGGTGATGTTAGTGTAGGTGGTGATGATGGTGATGGTGATAATGATGGTGGTGATGATGAGGATGGTGGTGGTGATGATGGTGATCAAACACTCTTTGAGGGCTCTACAAGACAATCCTTGGGTTTGGGTCCTACTAAGACTCCCATTTTACATATGAGACAGCGGAGGCACAGAGAGGTACGGTGCATTTGAGCATTTACTGGCAGAGCTGGATGTGGAGGCCAAGTCTCCTAATTCCTAAGCCTGTGCCCCTTCTACCACCTCAGCATGGTCCCACAAGAAGTTCTTAGGGTCCGGGGCACCCCAAGAGTTGACTCAGCCCAAGAGCCTCTGATGCTGTTGAAATGTGTGCAGGTTAGAGTAAGGGAGGATGAGAAAAAGGAGAGGGTGTCTTCCAGCCCCTCAGGCCAATCCTTGACACCCTGAAGCTTTCTTTACGCACCGGCCCTGTCTTTGCCTCAGCACTCAGCATACGTGTGCACAGGGCTGGCTCCCTGGAAAAGCCTTGTGGGCCCCGAGTATAAGCATTTCCCGGTGGGTGCTTTGGCTTTTTTGTGTGAAGGTTTTTTACCTCCTCGGCATGGTCTCCCAGGTCAATCTCCACAAACATAGATGGTTTCTGTGAATGGAAACCAAAGAGACACGGATGACAAGCTTGGGTAAGCTACGGAGGTGAGCAGACTTCCTGGGAGGTAGAATGTGCTCCTGACCCTGGGCAGTCGGGGTCAGAGCGGTTACCACAGGGACCACCAGGCACTGGCAATGCTCAGTGGGGGCCCCTGACGAGCTAAGCAGAGAGCTGCCGGCAGTGCGGATGGCAAGGCATCTATGGGCCAGCTCTGGCACATGAGGACAGGGAGCAGTATGGCCTTCCTACCTGTCCCTGCTCACCTCCCATCAGGTCCCTGCGATCCCAGAGGCTCTCTCTCACCTCTGCCCTCTGAGAACCAGGCCTCCGATGGCAGGCCACGTCAGGATCTAGGGCAGCCCCTCCAAGCCCACCCCAGACCTGCCCAGGTGGGAAGCATTTTTAACTTTGCCTCCACAAATCTACCTGGGACCCCACTTGGCCAGATTGTAAAGACTGTCTCTGAGATGTGAAAAGCCCCGCAGCTCAGGTGTTGCTGCGCTCAGATCTCTCATTGGGCACCTGGGCTCAACCTAGAATGTCTTTCCAATGGTAGCACTTTAATCAACACCAAGACAAGTATTTGGCATGGGTGAAGGACTCCCCAGAACCCCTGGGACCACACCGAGGACCGTCTGTTGTAAATCCTGGTAAAACATATCCGGCTACCCCGCCGTTCCCCACCATATGAATTGGAAAGGAGAATGACAGCCACCTTCCCTCAGAAAGTGCCCTGTGCCGATTCCCATGATAGCGCTGACATGTCTCTGGCCAGCGCTTCAGGGTCTGGGTCTGGGTCTGGGACTGGGACTGGGGGTGTTTCCTTGGGCCAAGGTCAAGCTGAGTGCTTCCTGTCAGGGACCCATGTGCCATTAGCAGCTGCACTTTTTGGGGTTAGGACGCTGCAGCATGAGGCCAAGAGCAGAGTTTGACCTGGAAGGCTCTCTGGGGGTCAGGGTAGGACTTGGTCCAGACTCTGTACCATGGTCCTGCCAAGGCGACTTGGGACCATGTGCCCACAGTGCGCTCGGGGCCCAGCAGGACTATGCCCGACAGGCCTCCCCATCCGACTTCTGTCGCCAAGTTAAAAAGCTCTTGCCTTTTTTTCCAGAGGGACTTCCAGCTTTATGGACTCTGACTCCTGTTCCTGTAAGAAGACACCAAACAGGTCAATAAAGGCAAGACTCCCACCCGAGGGCACGGCAGTGCATGGACGTTAAAGGACCACGGCCTGACCTTGGCCTCCTGGGCGCGTAAGTCTATGCTCTCGTCGTCTTCATGCTGCTCCTGGTCACTGGTCTCAGAGTCACTCTTCTCAGTCTCTGGTTCCAACTTTCCACCCTCCCGGTCCGACTTTTCACTCTCCTGGTCCGACTTTTCACTCTCACGGTCTGACTTTCTGCTCTCACGGTCCGACTTTTCACTCTCACGGTCTGACTTTTCAACCTCCTGGTCCGACTTTCTGCTCTCACGGTCCAGCTTCCCAAGGGCGTCCTGTTTCTTTCTCTGCTTGTCTTCCGCTAGGCTTGCCTGACTGTAGAAGTAGAAACAAGGGTTTGGAGTAAGTGTCATAGCTTCAGGACGACAACTTTCTCCCTCTGGGACATCAGGCAGCTCAGCGAGCAGGCCTGGCCTGGCCTGCAGGCAGAGGGGGGCCTGAAGGTGCAGGGCGGCCCCTCCCTGAGGGCAGGGGGCTGGGCGGGCAGACAAGGCAGGCGGCATGCAGAGGTACAGAGGACAAGGCTGTGCTGCTCCTCAGGCTGCTTCTGTCCACACCACTGCACACTCAGACCTTCCCCAGTGCGAGGCCTCCCACAGGCCCGGCGGTCTGGGATGACGACACCTCCCTGCCTACGGGGCTGCAGCTGGAGGGGCTGCCTGAGGAAGGGGGCATGGGGGAGGAGAGGGGGCTTGCAGCACTGAGAGCTACCTTAGTTCATCCTGCCTCAACCCTCCCATCCGAGCGTCTGGGGTTCTCTCAGGACACCCCGGGGCTCCTCAGGGCCTCCAAGTCTTGACCTTGGTGCTGGCTCCACTTCCCACCCCCACTGTCTCCTGTGTCCTTCATGCGGCTCTAGAAAGCCACCCCTGCTGGACACAGCCCACCTACCAGACGGTGTCTTCGGTGTCGCTTTTTAGGTCCTTTTCCTGATCTTCAGGCTCTGAGGAGGAAGGAGCAGAGTTTGTCATAACACTCCCATCACGTGGTCTGGGCCGCTGCTGGCCCGGGCCCATAGCCCTGCCCCGCTGAGATGAAGGGGACCACCCCCCAGGCGCTGGGTGCTGGGCTCCCTGCAGCTCCAGGCGCACTGCGGTGCAGCCTGACGACCAATGCTTACAACTAAAGTTTCAGTTTTCATCCTGACAGGTTGTCTCCAGATTCCCTGCCCCAGGGCGCTGCCCACTCCGTACAGGGCCCCATCCCCCACATGGCCACTCCAGAACCTCTTTAGGCAGAACTCGGGGTAAAGCATGAGGCATTGCCCTTACAATAAATGTGCAAGACCCAGGGGCACCTCTTGAAATCGCCCTGGTCCCAGCACCCTGGACAAGATGCAGCAGAAATAAAGGGTGGGGACGGGAACCCACTGGGCAGGCCTGACCCCAGGGGAGGGCAATGCACCCCAGGAGGTGAGACTTGAGCCACACACAGATGGTCCAGCAAACTCCCCTCCTCACGGCTCCTCCTCTGAAGGGCCTGCCGGGGGCTTCAGCGCAGCCACGCTTCCAAGGAAAGTACTGACTGAAGTCCTGCCAGCGAGGATCCTGGTCCAGGCGTGAGAGGCCAGTGCACCCGGGAGCCCAGGAACCTGCCTGGCAGCCAGCGAGCTGTCCTTCCAGCCTCAGCCTCACGTAAGTAGCGACTGTCATTAAATGATTGAGGTAAAAGTGCATCTGGTGACTTTGGCAGGATCAGAGCATGGGCCTCATAACTATTTTCAGTGAGCACGGAGACTTCCCACTTCCAGGAGCCTGTCAACCAGGAGACACTTCCAGGAGGTATGCAGGAGGGGGTTCCCCAACTCCTCTTCAGGCTCTAAGAGGCAGCCCCTGGGGGCACCCGAGGTCACCAACGTTGAAAGTTCCGTTGCTGTGCAGTCACATCTGAGCCTGGAATGGCTGAGATGCCGGTTCCCTGCAGTAGCTGCCCCTCCTCACAAGCAGCTTGGCCCATCCGCCCCAAACACACACACTGAGGGCCCGGATGCCAGCACAGCCTGGGGGAATGCCAGAGTTTTAAGTACAACTTTTAAAAATGATTTATTTATTTATTTTTAGAGAGAGAGAGTGGAGGGGGAGGAAGGGGAGACAGGAGGGAAACGTCATTGTGAGAGAGAAATACTGATCGGTTGCTTCTCGCACGTCCCCACCTGGAGACCTGGCCCACAACTCAGGCATGTGCCCTGACCCGGAATCGAACCGGCAAACTTTCAGTTCCTGGGAGGACACCAAACCCACTGAGTGATGCCAGTCAGGGCTCAAGTAATACTTCTGATGGAAGGCCTGGCCAGGGCACCTCTGAGCAGCCCCCACCTTGGAGAACTGCCTCACAGAACTTGGTCGTCAGAGCAGCTACCCCAGGCCTTCCATTCAGTGTGGATTTGGCTCACGGGCCTCGCACTGGGGCCCCTGCCTGACAGAGGAGGTGCCGGCCTGGTTCCGGGAGGTGCCGGCCTGGTTCCGGGAGGTGCCCTGCATCCTGCTCCTGTTCTTTCTCTAGGAAGTCCGATCAGGCTGGTCCTCACATACTCTCATGCTGTTCCACCCCTGGAACACATCCTCTAACCCCTGCCATCTCCCAGCGCCATCCCTCCTGGGGACCTGGGCAGCCCTGCCTAGTGTCCAGCAACCCGCCTCAGGGGGAGCTTTACATCATGGCCAGGCCTCCCTGATGCTCAGTGCATGTGGCCTTGGGCTGTGTGATTGGGGCATTGTGTTTGTCTCTGACTGGTCCGAGTTCCCTGTGGATAGGGACGAGGTATTCTTCATATTCTTCTTCCATGGTGCCTACACAGGCTCGGGGGACATTTTTAATCCCTAGGCAGACACTGGCCGCACCAGAGACAAAAAGCCCTGAGGGCAAAGGGCGGTGGTGTGAGGGAGCAGGTGGGACAAGTGTCTTCAGAGGATATTTTAAAACTTGGTACAGTAGTCCCCACTTACATGCAGTCTGAAAATATTAAATGGGAAATGCCAGAAACAATTAATAAATTTTTCATTGTGTGCTATCCTGAGTAGCATGCTGAAATCTCTGGCCCGCTCCGTCCCGCCCAGGACGTGAATAACCCACACTGTGCGTGCTACCTGCCTGCTCGTCACTTGGTAGCCATCCTGGTTATCAGTTCCACTGTCGTGGTACCACACCGCTTGTGTGTGACATTTACCTTAACAACAGCCCCAAAGCACAAGCATGCAAAGAGAAGCCGTGAAGTGTTTCCTGTAAGGGCAAAGGTGCACGCATGCAGAAACACCACGGTATACACAGGGCTCAGCACTAGCTGTGGTTCCAGGCACCCTCTGGGGGTCTGGGCACATGTCCTCCCAGGATGCAGGGGGCCGACTGCGGCTCTCGAGGCACCCCTCGGGGGGAAAAGGAGCACTCCAGCCTCAGCCTCAGCTAAGAGGACCAAAATGACTCAGAATCAAAACTTTCCAAGCAGGGATTTAAAAACTGACTGTTTTTGGAAAACCCTCAGGAGCCTACTAGCCTGTGTACGCGTGCGCATGTGCACATGCTGGTCTGTGCCTGTTTTATTTTTAACTCTATTTTATTGATTATGCTTTAACAGTTGTCCCAATTTTCCCCCTTCGCTCTCTTCCACCCAACACTCCCCACTCCCTTGGGCAGTCCCCCCACCCTTGTTCATGTCCATGGGTCATGTCTAGGTTCTTTGGCTACTCCGTTTCCTATACTGTACTTAGCATCCCCATGGCTGCTCTGTAACCACCTATTTGTGTTTCTCAATCCCCTCACCTCTCTACCCATTCCCCTACTCCCCTCTCCCGTCTGCCAATCATCAAAACCCTCTCCGTATCCATGATTCTGTCTCTGTTCTTGTTTACTTATTTTTTTAGATTCAATTATTGATAAATATGTATTTTTTGCCATTTTATTGTTCATAGTTTTGATCTTTTTTCTCTTAAGTGAGTCCCTTTAACATTTCCTATAATAATGGTTCGATGAAGATGAACTCCTTTATTTTTTCTTGTCTGGGAAAAGTTCTTTATCTGCCCTCCAATTCTAAATATCTTTGCTGGGTAGAGCAATCTTGGCTGGAGGTCCCTGCTTTTCATGACTTTGAGTATTTCTTGCCAGCCCCTTCTAGCTTGCAAAGTTTCTTTTGAGAAATCAGCTGGCAGTCTTATGGGAACTCCCCTGTAGATAACTAACTTCTTTTCTCTTGCTGATTTTAAGATTCTCTCTTTATCTTTAACCTTCGGCATTTTAATTATGTGTCTTGGAGTGAACCTTTTGCACCCATCTTGTTTGGGACTCTCTGTGCTTCCTGGACTTGCATGTCTATTTCCGTCACCAAATTAGGGAAGTTTTCTTTCATTATATTTTCAAATAGTTTCCATTTTCTTGCTCTTTCTCTTCTCCTTCTGGAACTCCTATGAGACAAATGTTGGAATGTTTGAAGTTGTCCCAAAGGCTGCTTACACAATCCTCAGGGACTTTTTTCTGTTTGTTTGTATTTAATTCTTTCTTCTTGTTGTTCTGATTGGTTGTTTTTTGCTTCCTTATGTTCCAAATCATTGATTTGATTCTAGGCTTCATTCACTCTACCATTGTTTCCTGGTAAATTGTTCTTTATTTCAGTTAGTGAGTACCCAGGCCAGTCAGCTTCAAGGACTGGCTGTGACCACTGGCCACCAATCTCTGACCTCCATAGAGGGTCAGCTATACAGGGGCAGGGTGGTGGTGCTCTGACATGGTCTGTAGCTGTCCACTGGGTGTGCATTCTGCAGTTTGCTGGGTGGTGCAGGCCAAGTTCAGCCCCCACATGTGTTTTGCCTGGGGCTGCCCTGCCTGAGCTATAAAATAATCTGAAATGGCTGCTACTTGTGCTGGGCTTGGAGATTCCCAGGCAAAACCAAACTGTGAATCTAGGCTGGTGGCTGCTAGTGCCAGGCCTGGGGCCACTTAGCAACAAGTGTAGAGGCTGGGGGGTCACTGAGATTGGTTGTTGCTTGTTGATAGGATTTAGTAAGTGGTGAAGCATGAGGCAGGACCAACCATTCATATGGAAAAACCAGTGTTAACAGCTTGGCTGGCCCCATAAGTTGGGTGGGACAGAGTCTTAGGGGATCACCAGGGAAAGGCAAACAGTGTTAGCCAGGTTGATGGTGTCTCACATATGGCATCTGCCTGCTGGCTCTGTGGCTCAGTGGAGGGAAGGCTCAGAAAAGGGACAATGGCCTTTTCTGTGTGGGAGAAAGCTGTCCCCCAGCTCTCCCCTTGATGCCAGACAGTTCAGTTCCTCCCTGTCTGCCACTGGTATCTTTTAAGCTGCAACCCTGGTGCTAGAGCTCAGAGGGAGTGAGTCTGAGTAAGTCTGTGTGTGGGTTCTTTCAGAGGAACTGCTTGGGACTCCACAAGTTTCTTCCACTGAGCCTCCACTGGTTTTTGCAACCAGAAGTTATAGGGACTTACCTTCCTGTCACTGGAACAGGACACGGTGTGGGGCTGGGACTTCTCACTCCAGAGATATCCCTTCCAAGTTTTTATCCCTCACACATGGGTGTAGGATCAGCCCGTTCTACGTCTCCATCCCTCTTACCATTCTGGATCGATGTGGTGTCTTTAATTCTGTAGTTGTCAGACTTCCATTCAACTCAATTTCTGGTGGTTCTGAGTGATGGCTGTTCTATAACTTAGTTGTAATTTTGATGTGGTTGTGTGAGGTGAGCTGTATTCACCTATGCTGGCCTCTTGACCTGTCTGTGCTGGTTTAAGACACAGGGCTGTCCCAGGCAGGTCTTCAAATCCTGCTTCTTCCTATTATGTATCTGAAGCATCAGGAAAGAGCGATGCAATTTCCCCACACACACACACCCCCCGCCCCGCCCTCATAGTGCAGGCAGCAAGCCCAGGAAAAGCCTTCCCCAGCACGTGGCTGGCGAGGCCTCCTGCTCTGCGTCCTCAGGCTCTTGACCGAGCAGCACAGCCGGGGAGCCCTGGTGGCCAAGTGGCAGACAGTGCGCCACACGGAGGCCTTCCTGCCGCCCATCCCATGGCCGTCGTTATTGGAGACACACCCTCTGTGTCTCCTTGCTGTATTTCCTGGGCAAACGTAGGTTGATTTCTTCTTTGGGGAATTTTGTTCCTCTTGAGTGAGCCCAGGGAGCATGGCCTGGCACACAGCCTGAACAGGAGGGAGATGAAGGAGCCACCCACACTGCCCCTGCCCTGCCGCCGGGCCGGCATGCCCTCTTCCTCCTCAAATGACACATTTTTGGATTATTACACTACAGAAGAACAAATATTTTTACACCTCTATCCCTTTTATTTTTTGATCCTCACCCAAAGACATCTTTTTGAACTTTTTTTTCAATGATTTTAGAGAGGGAAGAGGAAGGGAGAGAGGAAAAGATTGACTGGTTGCCTCCCGTGCGTGCCTGGGCCAGGGACTAAACCCACAGCCTGGGCATGTGCCCCAACCGGGAATCAAACCCACACAGCCCTTCAGTTACGGGGTGATGTCCCAACCAGCTGAGCCACACTGGCCAGGGCTGTGCCACTAGGGCTTGAACGAGCAACCGTGCTCCCGTTTACTGTTTCATTTCCGTGGCCTTCTGACACTCTCACAAAAGACCACTCGCTGGCATGAATTCCCAGGAGAAGCAGGCTGCTAAGTGCCCCAGCAAATGACTGTACTGGTCACTGCTGTCCTTCAACCAACACAGTACCCTGCTGCTCTGGGGGAAGTGCCACGAGATGCCTGAAGGTGGGAGGGCCCACGTTAGCTAACATTCAAGGTGCGGGTCCCCATAAGGACTAGGGTGTGTGGGGGCCCACCCCCTCTGCAGCCACACCACGGCCTCACTCGGCATGTTTAGAAATATCCTGGAGTGGCAAACATGGCCTAACACAAGGCACAAAACTACACGCTTTACAATTTAAAAGCCACATTAACGCCAAGTATGACAGGCAGTGCCACGCCCCACAGGTTCGCAGCGGGCCCCAGGCCCTGGCAGGTGCCATGGTCCCCTGAATCAGATGGAGGCTGGACTCAAAGAAACCGTGTCATCCAGGGTCTCACTATAAGCCCAGGACACTTCCCAGGCTGGCCCACCCTAGGCAATGGTGTTCTCCATGAGTCTGATGGCTTTGCAGGCCCACGGGGCTCCCCAAGGTCCCAGTGGTCCCCACTCCCTTCGTCCTGCCCCCCTCAGAACTTCCCGCCGGCCACCCGCAATGGGTGCTCAGCCCTCAGTCTGGCCCCACTGGAGCCCCAGTCTGGCTGTCGCCTGAAAACCCACGTTCAGTGCTCGCTACTTGGCCTTTCGGGTTTTCAGCAGGGGCAGTGCGGGCCGGGAGGGAGGCTGCTCAGCGCCAGGCTGCAGGCCCTACCTAGCTCCTTGCACAGCTTCTGGAGGCGGCTCGGAGGGTCCCCCTTCTGGTGTAAGCCGCCCACGCTCCTGCTCCTCTGCAGCTCAGCCACCTCGCTGGTCCCCTTGAGGTGTCCACTGGCCACCCCCAAAGGAGGGGCCCCGGCGCCCGGCCGGTGCCTCCTGTGCATGCTGGTGGCATCCTTCTCCATCCTTCTGCTCCCTTCAGGTCTCGGGAAAGAAGAGGGACCCGGCTCTCAACACGGCCTCAGACAGAGAACATGGCTTCCAACCTCTCCCAAGGGGAGCAGTCCAAGAGTGTGCCCAGGAGGCCTCCGTTGCTAAGTGTCCCCTGTGACATCACCGCAAGGTCAGAGGTCAGAGGTCATCTAGAGCAGTCCTTCACTTAGGCTGCAGGTTTGAGGAGCGGGCTTTGCTGGGCCCCCCTCCTTCCAGGCCATTACTGGCCTATCCACCACAGAAAGAGAGGAAGGGGGGCCAGGCAGGCTAAGGGGACACAGCTGGCACAGACCCGACTTGGGCAAACGGATGCAGGACTCGGCAGCAGCGGTGGGGGTCATGGGCACCTCATCGATGGTGAGAAGGCATTCTTTCTCCATACCCTCTGCCTGGGGGCAGGCAGTTTGAACTGCACTAAGGAAAACACCCACTTAAATCGGCATCTGCAGTTGGTGTGAGTTTGCTGGCACTGTCATAACAAAGAACCACCACCTGGGTGGCTTAAACATCTTTCTAGATTCGAAGAGGCCTCTCCCTTTGGCATGTAGATGGCTGTCTTCCCCCAGTGTCCTCACATGGTCGTCCCTCTGTGCGTGCCTGTGCCCTAATCTCTTCTTATAAGGACAGCAGCCACAGGGCATTAGGGGGTCACACCAACGACCTCATGTGACCTTCATTGCCTCTTGAAAGACCTGATAGTCCTGTTTGAGCACACAATTGTTTTCCCTCAATCATCTGAGACCATGGGGGACAAACCACAGTAAGTGCTTTTACTAACTAACCCTAACCCTAACCCTAACCCAGAAATGTCTGATTCTTCTCACAACAGCTGACCCAGACTGGAACTTAAAAACCTACCGAATGAAAACCAAATGGAGAAAAGAAAGGAATAAGGAAATGAGAAGATGCATTCATCTCCTCAGAGGTGGGGTCTCTCCCTTAGAGCCCCTGTTGTGCACCCAGCTCCTCCCTCTGCACCCCTGGGGTGGGGCGACAACCACCTCTGCTCAATGGCACTGAAGGCCTGTCCCCCTCCTGCCCCTCCTGTCTCAGGAGGCCGGCCCGCCTGGTCCTCAAGCTGTGTCCTCAGACAGGAACTCGGGACACAGCCTATCTTTCCCACCCTCCTCCTCGAGCTGGACCCCCGTCTCCATCCACGCTGGAGGTTCCCAGCAGAACACCCCCTCCGAGGGCCCTCGCAGTGCCCAACCCTGCGCCTTTCTGCCCGAGAGCATCACGGTTTCCAGCTCAGCCTGGAGCTCCACAGCTGCACCTCACCTGTCGGAGGTGCCTCACCTGTCCTCAGGGGCGAACCTCGCCTGTCATCACAGGCATGGCATCCAGCTCCCCACCTGTCAGCTCCACGGCACACCCCCATCTCCCACTCGCGCAGTTATCAGTGGGCACTCCTGGGGAACCACGCCAGTCCTCACAAAGAATAAAATGTCCGTTTTAATTGGCTGGTAAAATATGTCACAAATCATTAGTATCTTATAAACAGAAACATTAAGTTACATACAAATCCATGTTAAAAACTGCCATTCGGTGAGTGTCTCAAAGTTTATTTTTTGTAACATATTTGTCCACCATTTTTTCTGTAGCGAGTGTCATCACTCTCTGCCATCTAGACTGAGTCTGAAGGACAGTCCTCGCGCACAAGAAGAAAGACGGGCACAAGAGCGCGTGGCCACGCATGTCTGAACAGTGCTTTCCAAAGCCGGCGCGTGCAGCTACGAGGGCTGTCTGGGAAAAGTCAGCAGGCACCTCCCCTTGCATTATAGGACGCTCCCCACCCCAAAAGCAAGCAGCCCCCACCGCTGCTTCTAAGGGCTTCAAAGAAACACAGTGCAATACTGCTTGTGGGGCCCAGGGGGCGTCTGCACAGCCCAGCGCCTCCCATTTTAAGCTCAGCATTCCTTCCCCACCTCTGCTTTCTTTTAATCCTATGTCTATTGATTTTAGAAAGAGAGGAAGGAGGGGGGCAGAAAGAGAGAAAAAGAGGGAGAGAAAGAAAGAGGGAAAGGAACATTGACTGGTCATCTCTTTTATACACTCCAACGGGACTGAACCCGCAACCTAGGTATTGCCCTGACCAGGGATCGAACCTGCAACCTTTTGGTGTACAAGACGACGTTCCAACTAATAACTGAGTCACCTGGCCAGGGCCCTTCCTCGCTTTCTTTGGAGGACCTGGAACTAGCTTCCACGAGATGTACCCCATTCCCTTTTGTGTCCTACTGTGGCACCCTCCCCTTTAAAAAGTCCAGGTTTGGAGACTCTGAGTTATTTGTATCAAAGAGCTAATTAAAAACATTAAGAAAAACGGCTCGAAAATAATGCACATTTCTATTTTTAAAATCTTCCCCAAGCTTCCACAAAGGGTGGAAAGTGTGGATCCTACTTTTCAGCCCCACTGACAGCAACCACCACCTGTGCTTGGAGCAGGGATGGGGTGGACACCCAGCTCGGCCGTCAGCCGCTCGGGGGCATCTGCGCAGGCTGGGAGCACATATCGGCAGCCAGCAGGGGTGGGATTCTAACCTCTGGGGGAGAGACGTCTGGAACTCCCCCCACTGGGAACTCTACAGAAGGACCCTGTACCCCCTAAAACATCAAGAGCACCCTCAAATTGGGATCTCCATGCACTTCTGCACTCCCTGGCCACAAAACTGACCCTCCAGCCAGGAACACCACCAACATCAAAAGCTGAAACCAGGAGGCCACCTGCCCATGGGCACTGGGACAGCAGGCTCACAGAAAAAGAATAATGCTCTCAAGGCCCCAGCTGTGCCGAAGCAGCGGGCTCCCCGGGCAGGCGCCACGGAGACCAGCAGAGGCAGTGGGGCTCGACGAGAGAGACAGAAGCACTCGCTCTGCAGAGGGCAAGATGGCCCCTCGGTCGGTCCAGAAGGGCCAGGTCGGGACGCCCACCCACCAGTGCGAATAAAGTGCGTCGCAACCACGAAACAGCCCCGGAGTCTCAGAAGATCAATGAGCTTGATGCTTGTCGTCTGTGCCAGTGGAGGAAGCAAGGGTCCCTCTGCTTCCTCGCTCAGCCTTCTGGTCTTTGTCTCCCCCCTTTGCAGAGACTGCGACTTCGCTGGTGCAGCCCACGACACCGTCCTGGGACAGGGCGCCTCCAGGCTTTAAATGGAATGGGTGGAGACCTCCGACTGCTGCCTGATGTAGCTCTGGAAACTCTTGTCTCCAATGGGGTGTTCCCTGCAAAGGGAAGCGGGAGAGGAGAGAATGAGGCACAGTCCCCTCCACCGCCAGCGCTCATCTGTACTTTTACTTAAGTCTTTTCTTCTATCTATATACATAATGCATATCCTTTGTCATACATGTGAGAAACATAGATAAGCAAAGGAAGAAAGAATCAGCCCAAAGCCACCCATGGAAGTACCACTTCGACCCTGGTCACAGCGTGGTCACGTGTGCACACATGATCATGTGCACCGAGCGTGTGCAATGCGCCTTACGTGATTTAACCCAATGTTCCCAGCGTCAGTGAGGCTCTCCCTGCCCTCCGTTCTTGGGGCAGGAGGAGGCACACAGCGTGGCTGGACTGTCTGCAGGTGCAAGGCCCATGGGGCAGAGGGGACAAAGGCAGCCAGGCTGAGTCTGGGGGTGCTGCACCCCCAACCTTCCTCACAAGACGCTGATGGGGCCCAGTCCAGAGTTGGCCTCCAGAGACAGGGAAAAGGTGCAGGACGTGCTGCAGGCAGGGCTGCTGGCCCAGGAAAGCCTAATTTTGGAAGGGAATGAGCTAGGGAGGCAGGAGGCAGGGGGGACAGGAGAGGCGGGGGCCAGGAAGGGAGGAGGTGCTGCCCCCGGGACACGGCCCAGAGGACGCTGAGGAGTGAGGTGCGGCCCTGCTCTGAAGGAGCCAGGGAGCCTGTGCAGTCGCCCGCGCTGCACACAGTGGCTCCAGGGCAGGCCCCACACCCTCCTCTTCGCTGGATCTCCCCGCACCCTTGCTGAGACTTCCCATGCAAGGGCATGCCATACTCACTGGCTCCCGTATTTGGTCTTCTTGAACTTGTCCCTTTTGTACTGGGCGTGCTCCTGCTCCAAGGCCCCCACCTGGGCGATGACCTGCTTCAGTGTCTTGTAAGTCTCCTGGGGATCATCGATGACGAAGGTCGAGTACTCCTCCTGCTCCGGGCCGTCGTACACAGATCTGCTCCCACAGGCCTCTGCATCGTGGGGAGCAGGGTGGGAGGTCAGTGCGAGTGGAAGCGCCCAGACAGGCTGCTCCCCAGAATTCACAGGAAAAGGCTGATCATTCACACACAGATGCACCCAGAAACAGGAGTCATTCCCACCGGTCTAGCCAACACCGAGAGGTGCCGCCCATACTGAGCACCAGAAAAGCCTGCAGAGCCAGAAAGCCAGGGCCCAGGAACTGAGGCTTCTGAGGATCCAGTGCCCCAAATGCCAGGGCCCCAGCCCTCTCTCTGATGAACCCTCCTCCTGGGTGACCTGCGTCTGTCCGTGCTGCACTGGCTCACTGAGCCAGAAACAGTGGATGTCTGTGGGCTCCTGGGCACTGGGCCAGGCTGGCCCAAGGGCATGTGGGACCACACGCAGTTGGTCTGGGCAGATGAGCTTGGACATGTCCCCTCTTGGCCAGTCTGTGCTAGCAGTTTCCTAAGACCCCCAGCACCCGCGCCTGCTCAGCAGAAAACTTTCTCACTGAGCACCTTGCTCCTGCTTGAAGACCTCACTGTGGCCTTTAGTCATCCACAGGAAGCATCCAATCAATACCTGAACTGGAGCAGCCCCTCTCTTGTCCCCAAACACCTGGTCCAGGCCCCTCCCATTTGTCCCCAAACACCTATGCTGGGCCCTATGCTCCAGTGCAACAGAGAGACTAGGTGGGAAGACGTGTGCTGTGCAGGACACCTGGCCCAGGTGGGCCAGCAGCAAGGGGGTGCCTCATCCTGTCCGCTCGTTATCACAGAAGCTCTGGTGTCCACATTACTGTCTTTACTTCCCACTCAGGGAAACCTCTCAATTCT